ACGTTGTAAAACAAGCCATTCACTTCGTGAACTCGGCAACCAGGTTACCTTTATTTTTTTACCTCTTTTTTTTTGGCGGTAACCATAATGGTGGTCGAGTAGATCATGTTGTGCGGGTGGAGAACCCTCAATCCGCGCAAGGGGGATGATCGCACCACGTTNATGTGAGAGCCTGGTCCGGTGAGAACCCGGCGTGCTCCGTCCCGGCTTTGTAGGGATGCGAGGTCAATGGTCTAACGACTACGGCATGCACGACTATGAGTATGAGTACACCCCCCCCACCCCTCGAGTGTAATTCGACGACAACCCGTGCGTCCGTCTTGCTCCATCCGCCCTTCCGTCAGGACCCGCACGCTCTCCGATCCCTGCTCTTCCAGAGTTACCCGGGGGCCATGGGCACGGCAGGCCAATCGTCCTTGTCCCCGCCGCACCACCCCCATCACCACGCACAACGGGGCCCCCACCACCACGGCCACGGCGCGGCGGCGGCGGCGGCGGCGGCGGCCGGCGAAGACCCCGTCCAGAGCAAGGCCGACTTCCTCTCCACTTTCACGGAGGACCCGCACCTCCTCAACTTCGCCCGGCACTTTTGCGACTCTAGTTCCGGCGGCGGCGGCGGCGGCTTAAACGGCGGCGGTGGCGGCGGGGGTTCCGGCATATCCTCCGGGAGGAGGCTCATGCTCGGGGTGGAGGCCCTGGGCGACGCGTCGGCGCTCGCCCGGTACTTCGGCGGCGCCCTGCTGGAGTGCCTGGCCGGGGAGAAGGCGGAGGCGCTGGGCCCGCACCTGTCACTGTGCCACTCCACCGTCACCGCGGCGCACACGGTGGACTCGTCGGCGGCGTGGGACCTGCGACTGGTGCTGGACTACGGGCGGGGCAGCGCTCTCCAGTCGGCATTGATGGCGGCGGCGGCGGCGGCGGCGGCGGGTGTCGAACGGGTGGGTGGTTCTGCCGGGGAGGGAGGGAGAGTTTCACGGCGGCAGCGGCGGCGAGGGAGTGGTGATGACGTTGACGGGGGGAGGGTTTCCCAGGCGGAGGCGGAAGTCGAGGAGCCGCCGTTGCCGTTCACGTTGGTCAACCCGGACCTGCTGGCGTCCCTCGAGGTGCGCCTGGACGTCTTCTTCTCTTCTCTGGGCTTCTACGGCGATGGTGGCGCCGGCGCCGGCACGGAAGCAGCGGGCGCGGCGGCCGTTGGAAGGGAAGGGAGTCCGAAGCACCTGTCCCGATTGTGGCGATATCTCTACGGCCGCGAGGGGGGAAGGGACGGGGGGCAGGGAGGGGGAGCTGGCGGCGGTGACAGGGAAGCAGGAGTGGCTTGCCGGGAAGACCGGCTGTTCGGGGCGTACCTGGCTTACTTCGGCATCCCCGCCCCGGCGGAGCTCCTGCGAGCCCTTGGCGGGAGAGAGATCCCGCCGGAGGGGCTTGGCCTGGCGGACGCGCCCGCCCTGTTGCGCGGGCTTCCGGGGCTGACGCCGTCGGCGCTGCTCAAGATAACGTAGATACACGAGTAGCGCCGGTCAGTGGACGGCCTGTTTTCTTTTTCTGTGGCATGGGAATTGAGTGGTGTGCTTAGCGCTGCTTGCGCTTTTGTCCTTGAAGCGACAGCGGCTGTCCCTGTGTTGCTGTTGACATTGCTGCCGCACCGATGGCAGCGGTGCGTGTCCGTTTGTGCTCTGAGCGTTACAGATGCCCTGTTCCTTGCATAGTGATGTAGTTCGTCAGGTGACGGGTAGAAGTTTCAACCCTTAATAGCTGGTAGTTTCATCCAATTCTGGGTCTGTGCCACCTCTTCTGTTCAGAGAAACAAACCTGTCCAAGGTCCTACATCGAAACATCGTTAGTTTGTAATTTTGTGTCGTCGATCTTGGGCCGCCCGCGGTGTACAGCAGCAAGGGCACGTTTTGGTTGCAAGCTCTAGGGCAAGGCCATAGTTGGGCTAACATGGCGCGCTGGAGAAACAACATCACCCGCGCCCTTGCCTTGGCATAATTGGCCACGCGCTGAACTAACGCTTCCAATGTGTTGCGTTTTCCGGCACACCCTGCACTTTGTAGGAATACGCCCAAGCTAGCACCCGGAGGCAACGAACCAGTATCAACAGCTCGAATATTCCCGATCCGAAAGAAGCTCTGCTTGGGTGTGCATCTTTGAACTCCCTATCCCCTCGCGAGTACCACCAACACACTCGTTGTGGCATTCAACGACCGCTACACACATGCGTAAAATTTTTACAACATTCAAACCAAGAACGGACGCCATCCCAGGTGTATTTAGGGCAAAATGTTGCAAGTATTCCTACATTTTATACCGTGTGCGCCAACCGCAACCCTTGTCTATTCGGGGTCACACGAGTAAATGTAGCTGAGATCCCCCCCCCCCGCTGGCTCGTTCACAAATTGCCATCGGGGTTGGGTTTTCGTCGCTTGGCAACGACGTTGTAAAACAAGCTGCCCCCCCCGGTGTTTGCCATCGGGGTTGGGTTTTCGTCGCTTGGCAACGACGTTGTAAAACAAGCCGCCCCCTCCGGTGTTTGCCATCGGGATTGGGTTTTCGTCGCTTGGCAACGACGTTGTAAAACAAGCCAATTCACTTCGTGAACTCGGCAACCAGGTTACCGTTTTTTTTTTTTACCTCCGGTTTTTTTTTTGGCGGTAACCATAATGGTGGTCGAGTAGATCATGTTGTGCGGGGTGGAGAACCCTCACTCCGCGCAAGGGGGATGATCGCACCACGTTGTGTTAAAATGGTCAAGCACCCTCGAGGCAGTTACACAGTGCTTACAACTGTCTCTGGAAGTGAAAGCACCAGAAAATAAATTAATTCATACGCAGCTGTCATCCGTACGCAAGGAAGTAAGCACAAGATGCCGAACACCCTTAGCAGGATGCAGCGCACCCTTCATGCGACTCGCCGAATATCTCACGGCGCTTCGCGCTTGGTGATGTGAGAGCCTGGTCCGGTGAGAACCCGGCGTGCTCCGTCCCGGCTTTGTAGGGATGCGAGGTCAATGGTCTAACGACTACGGCATGCACGACTATGAGTACCCCCCCCCCCCCCGCTGGCTCGTTCACAAATCGCTGTCCTGTGACAAAAACATAGCCTGCTGGCCTGGCCTAGGGTTGTTCCAGGGGGCCCGGCAAGCGCTCGGTATTCAATCCCGGTGCCTTTCTTCTATACCGGTACGTTCTAGCTACGAACGTGGACGCCCCCCACACACAGTAGACTGCGTCGACCACAAGAGAACCATATCCTCGCCCTCCTGGGTACAATCTTGCAGCAAAGAACTGCGTCCCCACGCGTGTATTCACCCCACGTGTGAAATGAATCGGACAAACGGGGGTACTATAGTACACTACTCTTCCGCCCCTGTAGGGCTCTGTAGGTTCGGGACTTTCGCCGACATTGCCCGCGGTGCCTCGATAAACGCAGACACCACGAACGAGCGGAAGCTGCCTAGCCCTCACGCCATATCGCGTCGTTGCATGAACCGTAACCATCAAGGCGCCACCCCGACGTGCGCGGACCAAGGCAAGATATAGGAGCGGCAACGATCACCTCCAGTACAGACACACACCGACGCTGTTGTTCCCTTCTTTCTTTCCACTCTCGAGGTTTTGCACAGCCAACAAGGGTGATATGGCCTTTGTCTCTCGTCTCGTCTCGGCCGTACTTCTTCCTCATTTTCTGTACTCTACAGGGCAAACCATAATACATTTCTTGGGTCGCTAGTTCTCGACGGCAACGACAGTCCTTCGTTCCTTCTACGACTAGGCCGATGGATCGGTCGTTCCTGGGTCACCATCATCGACATCCGACATATTCCTCTCGAGGACGAAGAGCAGCAATTTCACCTGCGCCCGGGGAGGGGGGCTGCTGCCCCTCGTTAGACAAACCGTTAGTCTCCCGCGATTTGAGATATCCGCCACATGCAGACCGCGCCCCTCCATAACATCACAATAACGCGGGCTTTGCTTCGCGTCCAGACAGATAAAGCACCGAGCCGGCTTCACGAGGATCAGTCAGCCATTGGGGGGCATCCCCGTCGCTCGGTTTACAGCCCGGCAGCCGAAGCTGCGGCGTCAAGCGCGAACATTTCTTCCTCCGACAGTCGCCACCCCAACGCCCCGCAATTTTCATCCGCCTGTTTGAGATTTTTGTTTTTTCGGGAGAGGAGAGTAAGCGCCGGAGCAGAGCTAAAACCGCTAGAGATCAAGTTGGCACCGGAACACAGCCAGTGGCCCTGGGACTGCTAGTAGAAATCCTAAGGGGGAGGCTTGAGAAGCCACTGGAGAACGGGGGAGAGACGCAACAGCAGCATCATACCATACCTTGTCAAGGGCCCCTCCAACAAGAAATTGTCTGAAATCGAAAATTACCGCTGATCCGGGGATACTTAAACTAGTTCTCATTATGTTTGTTGCCCCCACCCGAAGCTCTCGGTTAGGCTGGGGTGATCATTTTCTCGCTGATCTGGCACGACTTCCCCCCTGGGCAAACACAACAAAACGATAGTTTCCTTCCGGACAACTATTGATTGATTTCCCTTAACCTGGCCTAGCTCCCGCAGCTACACCCATCCTTTTGAATGTTCTATCGCAGAAATTATGCAGGCCCGGCATCGAGGCAGAGGCAAAACTCAAGTACAACAATTTGCAAAGGGAGGGAAGGGGCTAGAAACGAATACTCGGCTTGATACTCCTGACTAACCTGTCTGATGTTCTTCGCTCCCGGGATCGGAATAGTTCCCTTGGTAATGCACCAGTTCAGGGAAACCTGTGCAGGTGTTTTGTCCCTGTTTCGAGGAGCAAGAGCAAGGGGGTACGCGGCCGAGGTACGATAGGGGGGGGGGGGGGA